ACCTGGAGTACTGTGTCCAGTTCTGGGCTCCTCAGGTCAAGAAGGACAAGGAACTACTGGAGAGGGTCCTGCACAGGGCCACGAAGGTGATTAAGGGCCTGGAGCACCTTCCATATGTGGAAAGGCTGAGAGAGCTGGGTCTGTTTAGCCTGGAGAAGAGGAGGCTGAGGGCGGATCTTATCAATGCTTATCAGTATCTAAAGGGTGGGTGCCAGGAGAATGCGGCCAGGCTCTTCTCATTGGTGTCCAGTGACAGGACTAGGGGCAGTGGCCATAAACTGGAAAACAGAAGGTTCAGCCTGAACATGAGGAAGCACTTCTTCACTGTGAGGTGACAGAGCACTGGAACAGGCTGCCCAGAGAGGGGGTGGAGTCTCCTTCCCTGGAGAATTTCAAAAGGCTCCTGGACTTATTCCTGTGTGATCTACATTGGGTGACCCTGCTCTGGCAGGGAGGTGGACTAGATGATCTCTAGAGGGCCCTTCCAACCCCTACCACTCTGTGAATCTGTGAACCGTGAACATTGTTAAATTAAAACTTTAAGAGGTGCTTGGGCCAAATTTTATCCCTATATTTTAGAAGAGTTATATTAAACCAACACAGATGTGATGTTTCCCAAATACACATTAAAGTACTAAGAACATAATCTTACATAGTTAGGATATTTTAAATTTGTCTTTCTCACAAAACTATAGACGTTAAGAACATTAGAACTAAGCAAAGCATGGAAAGTAAGATCTGGCTGAAACTCTGAACGCTCTGACAAAGAAATGGGAATAATCACCATTGTTTTACAATTTACCTTTAACTGGGGCAAGAGATGGCCGTAAGTTGTCCAAATGATGGAAAAAAATCTTGTCACATGTGGAACCAGGGGGCACAGAGGTTCCCACGGTCTCACCGTTCAGTCTACTTCTAACACGCTTTGGTGGGTGTGGTTTTTTAAAGAGCTGAAATTCATAAAGACAATAATTATCACAAAAAAGCAGTTCTTAGCCTTCCTTCCAAGCAGTCAGAGACAGCTGTTAGTGGGTCCCCACAGGAACTGTCTTGTGGCTGTCCTGAAACATTATGTGCTGCTGTAGTCTAGAGTTCCCAACACGTGGGTTGCAGTGAATTGCTGAAGGTATCTGTGCTTTCCACCAAATCTAGGATTGGAAAAAATTCACCAATAACATTTAAAACTT